AGAGCTAGAGAAGAATGGCTTCCTTTTGCAAGGTGTAAAAATTACACCATCATTGCAAAGCAAATTGTGAAGGATCCACTTGTAAAAGAAATAAGTCTTTAAAGTGATCTCCAGAGATGTCTATTTTACTTGTTTTACTTCTCTAATGCGTAATTCTATATAGAAATGTTTTTTCCCCAAGAAATTCTACAAAATAGAGTATCTACTATTTTTTTCAGGAAAGTTATAAAGAATAAGTGTAGAACTGTAACTTCCAAAGTAGGAAATTACATGTCAAATGCATAATGCATTTCCACAGAACATGGCCAGTATTAACTACAGATTTCTTGTGTTGTTCAGTACCAGCACATTAAACAAGCAGTCAGCTGGAGTTGTAATTAAGAGTATTTGTTTTATAGGCAATCTTTGGTATCGGCAAGGTATCACACCAAGCTACCCACAAGGATCTGCCTGGGATCATGTTTCAAATAATATCCGTAAAGTGTCTGTAGGGCCTCTCGACCAGGTACTTATTAGGCTTTCTTGTGTCTTATTAGATTATTTAAAATTGTTTCATATGTTTTTGTAATTAAACTTATTGTTTTTCAGAAACACTGTTTTTTGTTCATCTGTCTAGTTGCTACAAGGTGATTGTTTAAATACTTTAATCCTGACAGCGACACAAAATCAGACCAATGCAATAGTGATGCAGCCAGCCTTGCACTATGAACACCCTTTTCTTTTACTTATTGTTTAGCAAAATTTTCACTACAGCTACAATGTCTCATTCTTGTTTCCATTTCTGACTGAATGGGGCAGTTTTGAACTATCCAGGGGTAAAGACTAATTTTAAGAATTTTCATAACTTGAAATCTGGGAAGAGCAGCACTAAAACACGTTTTACTGCTTCATTTTGCTTTCTTAAGGTCTGGGTGATAGCTGACAAGGTGCAAGGAAGTCACAGTTTGAGCTGTGGGACAGTCTGCCATCGCACTGGTGTTCGGCCCATGGAACCTAAGGGGCTCGCGTGGGATTACGGGATTGGGGTAAGTGCTGAGGCATCAAATACTGCTGTAATGGACCCTGTTTTTTCCAAGTTAGGACCAAGCAGGATAATTTTCCTTATAAAGAACAAATAGTATAAAATAAATCATATAAGACTAGCAGTGTATGCAAAACATCATATCAAATAATTGCAGAATGATCTTTTTTCTGTTTCGTTTACAGGGTGGATGGGAGCACATTACAGTCAGAGGAAATGCAACTGAAGCATCTAGGATCACCACACATGATACTTCTGAGGAAGAGCCTGCAAGATCAGTGGATCTAGAAGATGAGGAGAGTAAAGGAAAAATAGAACATTCTAAAACCACCTCTTTGATGGTCAGTGAAGAGCAAGACATGGACAGAAATGCTGTTAATTGTTAAGTTCTCCCTGCCTACATCTTGAAAGCAAACAGTAGTCAGTATAACTTAAAAAGAAACCCCAAATGTGTACTGCCTGAAAGAAAGGTAACCCTTTTGTGCATGTATTTTACATTAGAACTGGAATTTGTGATGGGGTGATTTTCTCTGCTACATCATGAGTAGAATGTGACTTGAAAGAACTGCTTGTTTCGACACAGCAGGCAAGCATTGTAGCCACAATGTATTTCTGACCCTTTACCATAGCTGCTACCAAACCATATGAATGTGAAGGTCTTTGCAGATACTCACTACATTTATTCTTTATGAATATTAATTTCCTTTACTATGTTTCTCACATACTCAGGCATCTTGAACACTAAACTGTAAACTCATCTTTGAATGGGGTTGAAGATTTTAAATCATTTCAATATAATTGAATTACAGGAAGTTCCAGTGATTTGCCCAGCAAATGTAACTGGTCCTAACTGTACAGACATCCATGCACTTTGCTCATGTAAGTCCTGCCTATACAAGCATGCAATTCTGTCATGCTGCTCTTGCTTTTACCAGTAAAATTTCCTCCATGCATATGCCCAAAAACTTCTGCATGGATCAGCTTAGGGTGCAGGTACCAGGAGAGCCATTTTCTGCTGTCTTTGCTCACAGTGAGTGGCATTTTACTCAAATAGAACCGTTGGTTTTGGTGATGGTTTCGGTAGGACTACGCAGGGAGTGCGGTCCTGTTCCATTTAGATAAGAGTGACAAGGTCTCATTCTAAGTTGTCAGAACAAAGGCAGATAAATCGTGTTTGGTTTCTTTTTCCCTTGTAACTGAAGCCCCTGATAATCAAACAGGTGCCTAACTAGTGAAGTTGAAAGGGACCAGACATTTTGAGGAATTAATTAGGCTCTGTTCCAGCTGGTTAAAAATTATGCTTTTGTACAGTAAAAGACAAGAGGAGGTCTTAAACGAGATTCTTAAATGACTTCACATTGGTAAGGAGGCAAAACTTCATCATAGTTTCACAAGGGCATCATAGTTTCACATACTAACATGGGCTCAGAAGGAGGCTCTACTCTTTGTTTACTAAGTGATTGATTCATCCCTTCTTCCAAACAGAAATAATTTTTTATTCTCAGAATACTTGTTTCTGTCATGCTTGAGAATTTTAGTTACTGTGATGTAAAGTTATTCTTTAAAACCCACTCTTGGAAAAAAACTGGGAAAGCTTTCTCTTCCACTAGGTTCAGGAGGGCACCAAGTTTCTCCCTGTCAGTAGTTTACAATGGCTTCTCTGGTGTGTGTGTGTGTGTGTGTGTTACTGTATATGAAGGTATTTTTATATGAAGAATAATGTAATATGGTCTTAAGTACTGTATTTGTAGAAGTAAATCTAATGTTTGCACGTACTTAAATAATATATTTGTTATTTTAATGCCAAGGAAAGTACTGTTTCTGAGTCCAAATGTGAATTAAGATTCTTTAAGATGCTTTACTGTTTAAAGAACCTGTTAATTTTTCCGGTATGTGACTACAGATTAATTTTATATACATAAATTGTTGCAAGTGTCATAAGTAATGTTTGTGTTTGCATTAATACCCTGAATTGATTTTGCATATCTATTGCACAGCATCTTGTCTAAATAAATTTAACAGCTTTATCATGTATTTTTTCCTTTTAATAGATGGTGTTTACATGTTCAAACTGATTCTATACAACAAGCTTTATAATGTAATTTTGCATTTTCCCTGCATTGCCAAGCCTTGCTTATTTTACTGGGAAAAGATGAGTTTAAGTGAACAAAATAAATTATAAAATATTTGGCTAATAAACATTTGCCATCTGAAACAATTAGAGAACAAATTTCAAAATACATCATCATTGTTATGGCTAGCTAAACTAAGGAAAGCTTACTGTAAATTGAAACAATTTTGAAAAATAAAATAACTTACCAGGAAAAAAAATGCTTTTCATTAAATTCCTCTTGATCTGTCCAAAAAAGCAACACCTTGTTACCACTATGACAGCTCTTGTCATTTTACTAAACCACACATGGCCTGTGTCTAACTGCTAGAGATTACAGGGATCAGAGAAGAGGTAGTTTCATGTTTCTTATCTGATACCATGTTTAATGCTAGATGTTACTTGCCATTTTTGGCTTAATATTTGAATAAGACTCCTTGTTTGCAGTAAGTCCTAACAATAACACAATAACACACTACCCCAGGCCTTTAACCTCTATCTAGAAGAGCCTCAGTAGTCTGTGCTTCTTGAAGTGATAGGCAGTACATCAGCGCAGGCACTGCTAAAACACTGGCCTTCCAGCTCCTGAGTGTTTCTCCTCTGCCAAAACAGCCAAATGGCAGTTTGAACCCTCTTACACAAAATATTTCAGGGCAGACATTAAGTGTCTGGAATCATCAAGAATGTTTCTTAATACATTTCCCTGCAAAGCACTGATTTAGAAAGCCAACAAATCATTAAAGAATCCTACAAAAGTTACCAGAGAGAAGGTAAGAAGAGCTGACAAAGATGTCATAAATGACATGAAAACTTGTATTTGCCACCAGTTTGTGTAATGGGAGGAAAAGGAACATGGGATAAGGTGACACTGCAAAGCTCACATACTTAGCAAGGGAGAGCAGTCTGGGAGTCCATGATGCCACCACCTCAGTCTCAGTCACAGAAGACTTTTTAGAATGAGCTGGGAAACAACTTTTTAAAAAAGCCCCTTGAACAGCTCCTCCTTCAGTTACTGTAGTGCATAATACCAGAATTAAGCACTAGCCCAGAAAAAAATTCCAGATAATATAGCAAGCTTTATTAGCACATAATTGGATCATTGCCTCACTTACGACTATACTAAAGTCTTTTTATCACCATTTTGTTGCTAAGATCATAAAAGTAACTTGCGCATTACTTAATACATGCGTTACCACAGCACCCAAAACCCACTAAAGACAAACTACTTGAAGCTGGATGCTATAGACATAGACAAAAAAAAGGTTCTTGCTCCGGAAAGAATACAATCTAAGAAAGTTTGGTAAATGCTTCCATTAACAAGTACATTCAAGTGTTCTGCAACATTCAAAATTATACTACATGCTTCAAGCTCAGTAACATATCCCTGTGCTTGGGACCCCAGAAAAGTGAAAGGGAGACTCCTCCTGGTCTTAGTGAGCTTCAGAATAGAGCCAAAACACTCAAGATCAGATTTGGTGGCTGGGTTCCCACTTGTACCACTTCATTCACCAGGCTGGTCATGATTTGTAATATTCCTAGCAGCTAGTTAAGGAAGAATCAACTTGTTAAATGGATGGTGGACAACATTACACGCAAGCTCAGGTGACACAGGGCTTAAAGACATGGTGCACAGCACTTCTAGGGAGTGTAATTTTCAGAAGTTACTAAATCTTTACTTTCTGCAATTCAACTCTGGTATCACAAGATCAAACTGAGGTGCCAAAAAATGTATCCATACCTATATAATTGTTTTTTGGGGGTGCAGTATGAACCACAAATGTCACCTTTTTTTTTTTTTAAAGAGCAATCACCATCTCTTATGTACTGACATATGCCACCATGCAGGCAGGCAAGGAATGAAGGGGGCAGCTAACAACAGCTGTTTTGGCTGAAGCTCTGAATCTGTGTGGAATATTTTTTTAGATGTTCCTTATGGTCACCATCCCCATGCTGCTGTTGGCAATGCTGCAGCAGTTTGGATCCACTGGTTCCCCCCATTCCTTCCACAGCTGGAAAGTGTCCATTGGACATACTGAGTATTATGGAAGTCAAGGATTTGATGTAATTTTTGGCCAGCGTTAGAGTCTCTATTTTGGAAAGTTTATTCTCAGCTCTCACGTGGGGGATCACCTCCCGCAAGGCCTGGAAAGCGTTGTTGAGCTTGTGCATCCTCTGCCGTTCACGTTCATTGCTTTCCAGTCTCCTCAGCTGTCTGTCTTTACTGCTCCACGCACGCTTGCTCCTGGCTGCAGCGCTCTTGCTGCTCTCCTTGCTTCCCCCGTTCCTCCTTTCGTTGTGCCGCAGGCGTTTCACCGGTTCTTTCTTCCTCACTTTTGACTTCTCAGAAAATGTTTCTTTATCAGCAGTGAGACGTTGCTTCTTTGCTTTGGTTTTAGTCTTCATGTTTCCATTAACATTTCAGCCTGATCACCCTTAAATGAATCTTGTGGCACTAAAAGCATCAACCTGCTCTAAAAACATGACATGAGATTCTTTAATGATTGCACAGTCCCATGCTAAACAAATGCTTGGATACAAGCTCGAGATTGTTTTTGCTCAGTACTGCAAATACTTCATCAGCTATTTTAATTTGGTGATGCTTACGTCAGGAGTTGTGAACACCGTGAGTCCGGGTGACCTGTGCACATGAACACAGGAGAAAATCCAGTTTTAGAGAACAACAAATGCTACTTTCACTGGAAGGAAAGGGTTACTGAGGCTGCAGAGGCCAAATTACTTGAATCACTGAAACAAAGGTGCAGGGAATATCACCTGCTGGTATCATTGGCTGTGGGAAGCCAAATAAGAAATAAACTCCCTTTACTTTCTAATAGCCATGCCATGAACTGGAAATATCTCTCTTCTCTAGCTAAGAAGATGGTCCACAAGCTCATCTGGCACTGACATCCATTTGTATGTCTACTAGTATGTTTTAAACTGAAGCCAAATCAGTTCTTGCAGTGTGCACCTGGATTTAAAAGCAGTAGCTCCAGTTCACGGATCAAACCAACAGCACACTTAAAAAGTGCTGAAGTCCCTGTGTAAAGGCTGTGCTGTAGTGACTGCTGGAGTCGTGCTCAGAGGGCAGAAATACTGGCCAAATTCTCCCTTCAGCTCCATTGGTCTCATTGGTTTACATGCAAAGAGGATTTAGGCAGTCATGACACAGAAAAAAAAAGGGGGGGGGGGGGGGGCAAAAAAGCCCCCAAAGCCCGCTGATAACCACCTAAGCATGCCATACTAAAGCAAGACCTGCCCTCAGAGAAAATAGGACAGATATTTAAAACACAGGCTGAGATGCTGCTTGTCCAATTTAAAGATCTCAATGAGCAGAAAGAAATAAAAGATTGTGGGAAGAGCAAACCATAAACCAGCATGAATAAAATGGTCAATTAATTTGATAATACACTGCCTCTAGTTTCTTTCTCTCCAGCTCTAATTACCTCAGGTCGTAATACAACCACACACTGCATCATCACACACATCCAGATGTACACTGGAGCACTAGACAAAAGCCTCAAACTGACAAAAAAAAATAGCTTCTCCTTGAGCTCCTGATAATCTGTTTTCCATGGGAAGAGGTTTGCTCTGTGCATATATAGAGCAGTCCACTAGAGGGAAACATGACACAAACTCATGCAGGAGCTCAGGAACTTTTCTTGAGCAACTGTTCTCTCCCACATTATTTTTGCCACCTGCTGTGGCCACCACCGCACACACATGCAGACACACACACTCCGTGGTGTGTCCTTGCATAGCCTGGAGCCTGCTCAGCTAAGCAAAGAAGAAAGGAAAGTGAGGAGGCCGGAGACTGCCAGGAGATGAGCTTTCCTCAGCTAACGTGTTTTAATTCTCTACCCAAACCCCTTCATTCTACAGGTCACTTACTTCTACGCCTTATCCTCAAGGTGCCAGCTGTGTATGTTACAGCTGGCTCCAGGAGCTCTTCCCTGCTGGTGCAGTTCCACTTTCCTTTCTCAGTTCTGTTCTTTGAGGCTGATGTAAATGCGGAAAATGTCTAGGTATTAATTACCCCAGAAAAAAATCAGTCCGTTTTAAAGTAAGCTGTCTCCCTAGGTTAAGGGATAGAGGAGAAGCAGACCAGGCATTCAGATGTAGCAGTAACAGCAGTTTAAGCACTCAAAAGTAGAACCTCGCACTTCCAATAGGATGGAAAGCGGCTGGCAGAAAGTTCTTCCTTTTTCTACCAACAATCAAATAATGGTGGGGTATAATTGTATTTTCTGTCCGAGTATGATAGCAGCAGAGCAGTATTTATTCTCCCATTGAACCAAAAAAGACAACAATGCTACTGCTACACACGCTGCTGTGGCAGGTGACAGGTAGTGAAGTTTTACCCTCCCAAGCAGGTATTGAGCCAGCACTAGGTTTGAAGAGTGCAGCCTCACAGCTGTCCTTCCTCCAGCAGCTGTGGTAAGTCAGAGTTACTGAGATCTCGCATGTCTCCAAGATACTGCCACTTTCTTCCCATCTGCCCATGCACAAGAGTTTAAGACCGAAGTCAGAAGAAAACTTGTAAATTTATTCTAATGCTTCTAGGTTGAGAGCAGTTAGAGGGTTGGTGAGCCAGTAAAAAGTAAATAAAAGGAAGCAACCTCCCTAGCTGCAGGTGCTCTGTGGTCCTGGCACAGGATGTCACCACAGGCTGCAGGTGGTGAGCAGCTCTCGGGGAGCCACCGCTTCCGCTCTCGTGTCTTCAGGGCATCTCCAGCTGCTCTGCTCACAGCGACACAACTTGCTGCCCATGGGGCATCGTGTCCTTGCCCCTTTCGTCCTTTCAAGCTACAACAGTCTGTCGTGGGATGTGAGAGGAGGAGGCTTGCAGCGAGGAGACAGCTTGAGGAGGTGGCCAGGAAACACGCCAGGAGAGGAGAAGCAAGGCAGATAGAGCGAGCAGGAAGATGGACAAGAAGATGCTGAAGGTTCTGAGGTTCCTGTCACACCACTGTAACCCGCAAGAAACTGCTGCAAGCTCCTTGCGATGCAGGGGGAGATGGCAAGGCCACACAAGGAGAACATAAAAATACAGGGGGAGCACAAGAGACAAAAACCACAGGCTGAAGCCCGGAGTCCAGAAGACACTTGCAGCCTCGCACCCACCAGCCATGGCCGCGTGCCTCCCGTCCACTTACCGCTGAGGAGAAAGTGCGCAGGGCCACCAGGACAGCCGGGGGGAACGGGAGCCGCCGAAGGAAGGCGCCAGGACTTGTCCTGAGGGCGC